TTCGGCACACCACTCACACTTTTCGTGGCCCCATGGGGGTCTTCACCGAAGGCGCGGTGGCAGGGTTTGCTGGGCGCTCCCGCCCCATTACGTCATACCCATCACACGTTTCGTGGCCCCATGGGGAGCTCCACCGAAGGCGGCAGTGACAGGGTTCGCAGGGCGCTTCCGCACCATTTCGGCACACCACTCACACTTTTCGTGGCCCCATGGGGGGCCTCACCGAAGGCGCGGTGGCAGGGTTTGCGGGGCGCTCCCGCCCCATTACGTCATACCCATTACACGTTTCGTGGCCCCATGGGGAGCTCCACTGAAGGCGCAGTGACACGGTTCGCAGGGCGCTCCCGCCCCATTTTGACACACCACTCGCACGTTTCGTGGCCCCATAAGGGGGTTCCACCGAAGGTCCCAGTGCTACCGTCCGCATGCGTCCCCCTCCACCCGGTACAGCGTTTCGTGGCCCCATACGAAGCTCCACAGAAGGTCCCAGTGCTACCGCCCGCATTCGTCCCTCCCACCCAGTATAGCGTTTCGTGGCGCCAACGGGAGCTCCACCGAAGGTCCCAGCGCTACCGCCCGCATGCGTCCCCCCCACCCAGCACCGCGTTTCGTGGCCCCATAGGGAGCTCCACTTAAGGTCCCAGTGTTACCGCCCGCATGCGTCCCCCCCACCCAGCACCGCGTTTCGTGGCCCCATAGGGAGCTCCACCGACGGCCTCTATGCTAACGCCCGCATGCGTCCCCCCCACCCAGCACCGCGTTTCGTGGCCCCATAGGGAGCTCCACCGACGGCCTCTATGCTAACGCCCGCATGCGCCCCCCCACCCGGCACTGCGCTTCGTGGCCCCATAGGGAGCTCCACCGACGGCCTCTATGCTAACGCCCGCATGCGTCCCCCCCCACCCAGCACCGCGTTTCGTGGCCCCATAGGGAGCTCCACCGACGGCCTCTATGCTAACGCCCGCATGCGCCCCCCCACCCGGCACTGCGCTTCTTGGCCCCATAGGGAGCTCCACCGACGGCGCCAGTGCTACCGCACGCATGCGTCCCTCCCACCCGGCCACCCCAGCAGGAGCTCCATCGACGGCCCCAGTGCTACCGCCCGCATGCGTCCCCCCCACCCAGTACAGCGTTTCGTGGCACCAAAGGGGGCTCCACCGACCGCGCCAGTGGCACCGTCTGCATGCGTCCCCCCACCCAGTACAGCGATTCGTGGCCCCGTAAGGAGCTCCACCGACCGCGCCAGTGGCACTTTCCGCATGAGACCGCATCCCCTACCCAATGCAGCCTTTCGTGGCCCCATCTGGAGCTCCACCGAAGGCTCCAACGGCACCGTCCGTATGCGTCTCCCTCACCCAGTACAGCGCTTCGTGGCCCCATGAGGAACTCCATCGAAGGCACCAATGGCACCGTCCGCATGCGTCTTCCCCACCCCGTACAGCGCTTCGTGGCCCCATCGGGAGCTCCATCGAAGGCTTCAATGGCACAGTCCACATGCGTCTCCCCCACCCAGTACAGCGTTTCGTGGCCCACAGGGAGCTCCACAGACGGCCCTAGTGGCTAAGTTCGCATGCGTCTCCCCCACCCAGTACTGCGTTTCGTGGCCCATCCGGAGCTCCGCCGGAGGCCCTAGTGGCAGAGTTCGCATGCGTCTCCTCCATTAAGTGCAACGTTTTGTGGCCCATGGGGAGCACCGAAGACGACACCCACACCAGTGGCACTTACAAGTGCATATGGTTGGGTCCTTCGCCGTTTTGTTGTTGTTGTCGTCGTCGTCGTCGTCGTCGTCGTCGTTGTTGTTGTTGTTGTTGTTGTTGTTGTTGTTGTTGTTGTTGTTGTTGTTGTTGTTGTTGTTGTTGTTGTTGTTGTTGTTGTTGTTGTTGTTTACCTCTCTCTCTCTCGCTCTCTTTCTCTCTCTCTCTCTCTTTCTCTCTTTTCTTTCTCTCTCTGTCGCTCTCTTTTTTTTTTTTTTCTCTCTCTCTCTCTCTCTCTCTATTCAAGTGGCCTTTTTTGTGGGAAAGGCTCGAAATACCGGTTCCCCTCTTGGGCTCTCTTGGGGCCCAGTCTTGGGGGCCCCTGGGGCCGTCTCTGGGCCCACTTCGGCCGGGTTGGGGCCCTCTTTGGGGCCTCCCTCATCGGCCGTCTTGTGACGATTTTTGGGGTCCCTTGGGCAGTCTGCAAAGCTGTCAAGACGAAAAGGCGAGTGTGCTAAAAATGACGGTTTTCCGTAGGGGAAATCTCGGCTCCTTTCTTCCTTGATCGTGGCTCCTTACTTCCTTTGGTTCCTTGGTTCCTTGGTCTTGGCTCCGTGTTTTCTTGATCGTAGCTCCTTGCTTCCGTTGCTTCCTTTGTTCCTTGGTTTTGGCTCTGTGTTTCCTTGATCGTGATTCTTGCTTCCTCTGGTTCCGTCTTCTTGGTGTTTGGGCTCCTTGGTTTCTCGGTTCCGTGTTCTTGGTGTTTGGGGTCCTTTGTTTTGGTTCGTTGTTGCCTCGCCACACGG